ACGTGCGTTACGTGGTGGTGGGGGGAGCACAAGTGGCTGCATTATTGGCAACTGAAAGTGTATTTCGCCAGGGGGCGCGCGCTGCGCGCTGCCGTACACAGTTTCATGGCCTGAAGCTTCCACTAGTGGAAGGCCTGAGGAGAACCCATTAGGCGCGTCGGTACGTGAGGCAATAATGCGGAAAAGGAGGTCCATGCGGTGGCTGCAGCTAGCAACCCACTCTGGCCGGCCGGCCGGCCGGAGAGCGCATGCAGGAGGAAGTTTCCCGGCTACGTGCGAGTTAGAATCGTGTTTCGTGCATCCTCAGTTTAGCTTTGCTGTCGAGCTAAACAGCACTAATTAAAGAAATGAGAATGAAGGTTTGATGGGAAAACAGTCAAATGTGGCACATGGTATTCTGGAGAGGAGCAAAGGCTCTTTGTTTGTGTGAACTTTGGAGTGTTATCGTGGAGTGAAAGTTGAGAGTCGGTGGCGCGTGGCGGCCTGACATACTTCAGACCCACGTTTATGTCTAGTTGGACTCATGATGGCCTCATTAGATGAACTATCAAGCAAGCATTTCTTGCGGGATTAGAGTGAGCAGCAAATTACAATCTTAATTTACTTCCTCCTATCAAAATTAATTGATGCAGCGCTCTAGTACAAGTTTACAATCTTAATTTAATAGCATATTTTCTACAACAGAGATGTCAAAGGGCAAATCATGGTATCATGGTCGTCACACCTCACAAGTGAGACCACGGCAGATCCATCTTACTTACAAGTGCTAAGGGCATCTTCAGCCGTTCGCCTCTCAGGAGGGGCAAAAAATCGCCCCCCTCGAGGCGCATCGGCGCTAAACCGTGCACTGGGGGCGTGATGCCCCCCAGTCGCGGCCCCCCCACGAGTTTTTAAAATGTTCAAATTCGGCGCAAACACAACGCAAATACGGGCGAGTTCGTTCAAATTTAAACATATTTTACAAAAAAAGAAAAAAAACTACCGCGGGCTACCCCCGCCGTCTCCCTCGCCGCCCGCCCACGCAGTTCTACATGCCGAGGAGGCTGTAGAACCGCGTGTAGTCACCGCCGCCGTCGTCGTCGTTGTTGTCGCCCCCGCCTACGCCTCCGCCGTCCCTGCTGCATCCCTCCCACGGTTGGCGCGGCGGGTTGGACGGTCCGAGGGCGTCGTCATCGTCGCTATCGAGGACGACGACACCGTCCTCATCCTCGCGCCCACATTTGCGGGCGGCGATCTCCTCCAGGGCCCGGCGTTGCTGGATCATCTCCTCGCGTAGGTAGTCGTCGCGCGACGACCGCATGGCGTCCTCGTCGGAGAAGCCGCGCCGGGCTATCTCCTCGTACTCCGGGGGGAGGCTGGGCTTCACCTTGGGCTCGACGAGGGCGCCAGAGCTGCGGGTACGCGCGCTGACAGGCGTGTCCTGGGGCTCCGGCTTGACGGGGCGGAGGTGGAGGCAGGGAGAGCCGCCGGACGAGGAGGAGGACACCCCGGTCTCCATGCGCCTCGGCGTCCAGGAGCTTCCCTGGCGGCCCCGACGGCGTGAGAAGGACGGGGGAGCGGGGTACTCGAGGCGCGGCGTGTTGCCGCCCTCGATGTACTCGAGGACGGACTCCAACGTGCGCCCGGGCACGCCCCACCACCGACGCCGGCCGACGGCGTTGAACCTGCCGGAGGGCACGACGCCGTTGGTGGCCTCGAGCTGCTCGTCGTGCCGGCGGCGGAAGTACGGCTCCCAGATTGGGCTGTCGGGGACGTACCGGGGCCCCTCCCTCGCCGCACGCGGCAGGGACGAGCGAATGCGTGCGATCTCCGCACGCCGCGCCGCGCCGGTGGGTACCGGGGGCACCGGCACGCTGCCTGCGCTGATCCTCCACGCCCCGGGCACCCGCATGTCCGACGGGACCGGGTACTCGGCCTCGAAAAGGAGGCGAGCCTCGTCCTCGTGCAGATGACGGCGCCCGAATCCGTTCGCTGCCGCGCCGTCGCCTGGGAAACGCTCGGCCATGCTTTCTCAACTGGTGACGGCGAGAGGAGGAAAGGGGAAGAAATGAGCGCGTCGTCGGTGGATGATCGGGGTCAGTCTCTCCGGCGCGCTTGCAGTCGGCTTTTATAGGCGGAGACGCCGCGTGGTAGGCTTGGCCGGCGTGATTGCGTGGCGGCCGAGGGACGCGTCGCCCAGCCTTCACTGCGCCGCCCGTGAGGCATCAATGGAGGTTGACCGGCGCGGTAGCGCGCGCCAGCTTTGGCATTGATTCGCCGCGGGAAACGAGGCGATGAGGACGACGAAGGGGCGAGAAGAGATTAGAGTCGCTGATGCGGCGGGCCCGCGGCTCTTCACGCCAAAAATGATTCGCCCGGCACCCCCGAGCGACCCCCAGCGCGCCGGGTTCGGGTTGGGTCCGCCGGCGCCAATTTCGGCCCGAGCCGGCGAAAACTGGGCTCTTGGGGGCGCGACTGGGCCGTTTTTTGGCGCCGGTGGATGAAAAAAACGCCTGGAGGGCCTTCTTGGGGGCGCGGCTGGAGATGCCCTAAGATACATGCGAGGTGCAAAGCTGTACCTTGTAATCGTGCAACTATGTTTCATCTAGGAAAAAGGATAAAAAAAATAGCATGCCCTACCTGGCTACCTCTGATTTTCTTTAAGCTAGTACGTTGAAATTTTACATGTCAACAATTTTTTAGCTGGACTAGAAGGAATCACTAGATATGATGTACAATTACTTGGTGTATGCCACTATGTCAACATGTTTGCACAAAACTACTAAAGGTTTTTCCCTTGAACCACTTCACATGAGAGTCCAGCAAAAGTGTTTTTCTAATCCTGAGCTCAAATGCTCCTCCATGAACTGTAAAATAGAAAAACATTCAAAATATTTTGATCTTTTGACAACAAACATTGCCTTAGTTTTTTTCCTGCATGCAAACATTGTGACGAAATCACATTCGTCGAGTTCTGGGAGAAAAATAACAAAATCGGCACTCCAAAATGCTTTAAAAATAGTCTTTTCTGGAGAATCAATTTCTTTTCTTTTCCCAGAGCATTACGAATGTTTTCTTAACAAAATTTTGGGCGCATGTAGAACATTCAACAATGTTTGTTGCAAAAAAATCATTTTGGTTGACTTTTTTATTGTTATTTACGAGGATGCATTTGTGCTCAGAAGCAGAAACTCCAAATCCAAGAGCTCGTCGAGGGACTTGTTACTCTTGGAGACCACCACCATTGTCTCAACAATCTCTTCGAGAAGCTTGTGAAGCAACCGAAATCTTCTTGTGAAGTGTCCCATCTCCATGCATACTGGATCGAGGACAATTCCTCGAGAGAAGAGTGACTCGAGAGAGGGTCCGCGCGTTGGCACCACAACAAAGTATAGAATAGGTGGATGTTTGAACTCCGGGAAATTTCTTGGGTCTTCATACTTGATATTATAAACCTTCTGCATAATTCAATTTGCTTGCTAGTTTCCCTTATTTGCAAAACTTTCTTAGCACGGGCTGTTGGCGCACTTCCTATCATATTTAAGGTTTGTGCTTGAACAAACTCTACTAGGTTGGTTCCACATTAGAATTAAGTTACATATGTAATTGTTTTAAAACACTAACACCCCCTCCGAGGAAACATCTAGCTCACCTAGACACATGTTGATTTTAAGATATATTCTCTCGAATTATAGTAATAAAAATATCGTACCGAGATGGAAAGGAATACCGCTGGCGCATCCTGTAAGTTGAGCCACCACATGAAAAGGAAGCGGTATTTGTCCTCTTCTTAATGTTTTATGGAGCTGGAGTGACCTAAAAAGACGCCATAGTAGCAAGATAGACAGAGAGGATGGTGGTAGACTACGAAGGGTTGAGTGATGTTTATTTTCTGCTACTCTATTTCAAAATAATTAAAGTTTTAGGTTTGTTCCAAGTCAAGTTTCATTGAGTTTGAATATATCAGTGTCTATAAACCAATTTTGCTTCATTGGATTCAGTATGAAGTATATCGTCATATAATATATACATTTGATATTATTCGCCGAAAAAATATTTGATATCATAGAACTTTGCAGATTTCTCTATCGACTTGATCAAGCTTTTTTTACCCACAAAAAGGAAAGACTTGATCAAACTTTAAAAAGTCTAACTTAAGATATTCTTACACCATCTATCGCAGTGAGCCGAACATGTCCGGTTGCCCTACCTTTTGTTGACATGCTCCCAAGAACCCACATAGCAGCACTTATGATTTCTCATGGGTTCATCCCTTAACGGAAGAGGTGTGTCTGTGTTGTGTGTGTATGTTTCTGAACATGCGTGTGTTAGTGTGTATGCAGGCGTGCGAGCATGTGTGAGAACGGGTGATGCTGCCTATGGAGGCACCTGAGTAGGTGTAAACTGTCGATAGAGTAGAATAGGGTGAGAAAAGAAAATGAGCTAATGGGCTAGGCCACTTCAAGGGATGACCGTATAAACAATTGCAGTCCTTGGCCCAGATATCTTCAGTGGTTAGTGGGCCGTTTTGATATATATTTTTGGCAGATATAATTTGCTAACTTCATGTCGGAACAACGAACCTGGATAGCCCGAACGTCGTTGTCCAACAAGAATGCATACTCGTGTCTAAAAAAATACTAGGATGCATAATTTGCATAAAAATATCCTTAAAAAATATACATTGCTTGAGTGTATGTGTGTATATATGACCGTCTCTGATTGTACCGTGTAAAAAACACATAAATTGCACAAAAGTTTATCCATGTGGTTTCACTCGCAACTTATTTCATCGGACATTCGGACACGGGTCACTTCTACTGCCTCAACAAGATATGCAACAAGAAAGATCACGACCACGGTATCACAGACGACAACAGAGCTGCAACAATTTTTTTTTTTAAAAAAGACGACAACAGAGCTGCAAAATTGTTCACTATTCATATATTTTTTTTCCCACCGTTTCACTAGTACTGTACAATTTCCTCGAACGATTTTTCACACACATGTGGCTAGGTTGTCTAGATCGTCTCGAGCTGTGCAGCGTCCACGTGCACCTGCACGGCCGCCGGCTCCTCGGGTCGGGCCTGCGGCGCGAACGGCTCTTGCCTGCAGGTGGGGCACGTCTGGCGCGCGGAGAGCCATCGGTCAATGCACCGGACATGGAAGCCGTGGTGGCAGCGCGGCAGCACGCGGACGCGCTCGCCCTGCTTCAGGTCGGCGAGGCAGATGGCGCACTCGGTGGAGCAGCACACGGCGAGCTCGATCCCCGCCGAGTACTCCATCGTCGGGATCGCCCGGATGGCGGCGCCCTTGCCCGCCCGCTTCTTCTTGCCGCCGGCGCCGGCTCCGGCGTGCAGCGCGGCCCTCTCCAGGCCATCGGCCTCGGCGTCGCCGGGGGCCTCCGCCGGGCCGTAGCACACGCGCCGCGTGACGCGGCACGCGCACTGGACGAACGCGCGGACCACGAGCGCCACGACGAGGACGCAGAGGAGCAGCGACAGGATCGAGATCACCGTCGCGTCCACGGAGCCGAAGGGGCTCGAGGGCGGCGTCTGCCCCGACGGGCCGGGCGACGCCACCGCCACCGCCGGCGTCGCCGCGGCGTGCGACAGAAGCCTCCTGGCATGCATGCGTCCCACGTCCATCGTAGCAACCTCTACTGTCTCCTGTACTCCTGCTTGTGCGTGTGCGTCTGTGTTTTTTTTTCGACAAGCGGGAGAGTTCTCTTGTGGCGCGGCGAGAAGCCGCTTATATAGCAGCTGAAGGGGGACAATGTGCATGGCATTTTCTTTCAAAATATTTCGTGTCGCCATCGCAGTAGTGGGCCTTGTGTATATGCTGCAGGCGATCGATGAGGGAGATGTTTCGTGGAATGTGGAGCAGCCGAGTCACTCAGGGAGATAAGAAAGATGCACTTCGCTGGGTGGCGATTCCGAACGGGCGGCAAAATCCGGAGAAGCTTTTGACTGGAACACCGAAATGCTTTCTTACTGTGCGTATTGGAGCATCGGTCAGAACACTGTAACGCTTTCAGAGGCGCCTCAAATCACACGCAGAGCTAGTATCTCGCGTGGGAGCATGGGAGCATCGGCCATGCATGGGCATGGCCCATGGATTTCAGGTACCATCAAGTAGGGCACCTTTCGTAGTAGTGCAGGATGATTAGTGTGGCGCAAGTGCTACAGTGTCGTTGTCTCAAGCGAAAAGCACAAGTTCTCAAACGTTCTCAGGGTTCAAATTGATGCACTATGCTTCTGCTTCAGTGCATCTAGTTTATGTCCACAAGTACACAAGATAGATGCAAAACCACTATGCTTTGCTACATCTAGTTTATGTCCACAAGTACTCAAGATAGATACAATACCACAACATGCCGACAGTGCTGCCTGTCTGGAACGAGTTCCGTAGGGCCACGACGTGCCAAGAGGGGTAGCTTGCTCCGGAAACTCGAAAAGTAGGGCGGGATTTGCCAGACCGCACTTACGCCCATCATTAGCGATTAATCTAAATTTTAAAAGCCCCGATCATAATCCTGCATGTCATTGGAGCCTCCACTAACCGCGACCTGCCAGCGCGCCAGCGGGTGACAAGTGGACCGGCGGGCGCCAGCGTGGTGCTGACTTGTCTATACGCGGCTGGTTCGGCGCAGGCCGCCTTCGACGACGTGGCGTCCGATGTGTCTCTCTCTGTCGTTCTTGCCGGCTGCTTTCAGTTTCTGTTGGCGCCAGTGGGTTCCCGCGTGGGAGTGGTCAGGAGAGACGGCATGTATGGGCTGGGCTGGGCTGGGCTGGGCTGGGATAAAGTCGTGCGTTCATGGGACAAATGTCACCTCACCCACATGAATTTTCACTATATTTCAAATCTTTGTAACAATTCCTATTGGTCAATAGCGCTAAAAAAAACTCCTATGTTTTGCAAATCCTAGAACCTAGAGGATTGTTCTAAAAATGTACATTTCAAATTTTGATATATGCAATCATACTACATTTCCCACACATGAAGCTGTTTTTTTTCCTTTGATCCTAGAAAAAATAAAGCTTCACCCAAAAAAGAAACAAAAAAATGTACTCCCTTCTATCCAAAATAAGTGTTGTGGTTTTTTAGTTCGGGCGTAGCCATTTTCTATACTAGCATTCATTTATTTCTAAAGGAGGCCTTGGATCCATCGATCAAACTAGCAGTACACACCTCTCTGAGAATAAAGAAAGTACATTAAGATCTCTGAGGGTCGATTGTCTTCTTCATCCTGAATAGACCATGGTGTGCCATGGTCACCGTGTCTCTATCGCCGAAATGAGTCAGTCGCTATTGATTGCAAACGGGAAGTAATAGAGCCATGTCCCTGCGGGATGAGCATCCTAGAGAAGAAATCTTCAAATCGGTCGCCACCGGAAGATGCACAAATCCAATACCCCAACCTCCAAAGAAACTCACAGGCTCTGCAAGGCCATCGAAGGCCGCACCAACGTGGCGAAGAAGAAGCTGAAGAACAAAATTGCAAATGAAGTTACTGACCCCGTCATGCCGACAATCCCTAGAAACCATAACCTCACTAACTAGATAAGTCGGCAAGAAGTTATCCAACAAGCCACTGAGGCCGCCACAAACCGATATTATTGAGATGAGCTCCACCGGGTAAATCGAGGCCTCCCCGCACTCCAACACCAGTGAAAATCTCCTCCCTGGGTTTGAGTGGGAGAGAACATATATCTTGCTAGCCCATGATAACTTACTTTTTATATACTAGCAATCATCTATGTGCACTATGGACCCTAAAACAACTATGTCCAATGAATGTTCTTCACAATAAGAACTATAACCAACATATGCTAGTGTACCCTGTCATGACATGTTATGTTATAATTGTGTGAATGTAGATGTAATTCTAGATCAGATACAACCTAATTCACGGTCTGTTGATGTCAATGATTGATAAATAGTAGCATGTCCAAATATACTTTTATATTTATTGATATTGTTCTTTATATATACGAAATATGTATATGGCAACCGTGTGGCAGATTGCGAAACTGCCACACGCATCTAACACCATCAATTCTCTCCCAATTTCCTTTCCTTTCTCGCACGACCTCCCGATTTCTTTCCTTTCCCGCACATCCTCCCCAATTTTATCGGGCACACCCGCTCGTGCCTTCCTAATTTTCGTAAAATCGTCATTTATGGCCCCACATGCCTTCTCGATTTTTAACAAAAATAATGCTTGGACTAGGATTTGATCTCTGGTCTGCAGGTAATTGTTGGGGAACGTAGTAATTTTAAAAAATTTCCTACGCACCCGCAAGATCATGGTGATGCATAGGAACGAGAGGGGAGAGTGTGATCTACGTACCCTTGTAGACCGACAACGGAAGCGTTAGCACAACGCGGTTGATGTAGTCGTACGTCTTCACGGCCCGACCGGTCAAGCACCGAAACTACGACACCTCCGAGTTTTAGCACACGTTCAGCTCGATGACGATCCCCGGACTCTGATCCAGCAAAGTGTCGGGGTAGAGTCCGTCAGCACGGCGGCGTGGTGACGATCTTGATGTACTACCGTCGCAGGGCTTCGCCTAAGCACCGCTACAATATTATAGAGGATTATGGTGGAAGGGGGCACCGCACACGGCTAAGAATATGATCACGTGCATCAACTTGTGTGTCTAGGGGTGCCCCCTGCCCTGTATATAAAGGAGCAAGGGGAGGAGGCCGGCCCGCCCCTATTGGCGCGCCAGGAGGAGTCCTCCTCCTAGTAGGAGTAGGACTCCTACTAGGAGGGGGAAGGAAGTGGGGAGGGAGAAGGAAAGGGGGGCGCCGCCCCCCCTCTCCTAGTCCAATTCGGACCAGGGGGGAGGAGGTGCGCGGCCCACCCTGGCTGCCCCTCTCTCTCTCTCCACTAAGGCCCATATGGCCCATTACTTCTCCCGGTAGGGTTCCGGTAACCCTCCGGCTCTCCGGTTTTCTCCGAAATCACCCGGAACACTTCCGGTGTCCGAATATAGCCGTCTAATATATCAATCTTTATGTCTCGACCATTTCGAGACTCCTTTTTATATCCGTGATCACATCCGGGACTCCGAACTAACTTCGGTACATCAAAACTCATAAACTCATAATATAACTGTCATCGATACCTTAAGCGTGCGGACCCTACGGGTTCAAGAACAATGTAGACATGACCGAGACACGTCTCCGGTCAATAACCAATAGCGGAACCTGGATGCTCATATTGGCTCCTACATATTCTACGAAGATCTTTATCGGTCAGACCGCATAACAACATACGTTGTTCCCTTTGTCATCAGTATTTTACTTGCCCGAGATTCGATCGTCGGTATCTCAATACCTAGTTCAATCTCGTTACCGGCAAGTCTCTTTACTCGTTTCGTAATACATCATCTCGCAACTAACTCATTAGTTGAAATGCTTGCAAGGCTTATGTGCTGTGCATTACCGAGAGGGCCCAGAGATACCTCTCCGACAATCGGAGTGACAAATCCTAATCTAGAAATACGCCAACCCAACATGTACCTTTGGAGACACCTGTAGAGCTCCTTTATAATCACCCAGTTACGTTGTGACGTTTGTGTTGGAAATATGCCCTAGAGGCAATAATAAAAGCATTATTATTATATTTCCTTGTTCATGATAATTGTCTTTATTCATGCTATAATTGTGTTATCCGGAAATCGTAATACATGTGTGACTAATAGACACCAACATGTCCCTAGTAAGCCTCTAGTTGACTAGCTCATTGATCAACAGATAGTCATGGTTTCCTGACTATGGACATTGGATGTCATTGATAACGAGATCACATCATTAGGAGAATGATGTGATGGACAAGACCCAATCCTAAACATAGCATAAGATCGTATAGTTCGTTTGCTAGAGTTTTCCAATGTCAAGTATCTTTTCCTTAGACCATGAGATCGTGTAACTCCCGGATACCGTAGGAGTGCTTTGGGTGTGCCAAACGTCACAACGTAACTGGGTGACTATAAAGGTATACTACGGGTATCTCCAAAAGTGTCTGTTGGGTTGACACGGATCAAGACTGGAATTTGTCACTCCGTATGACAGAGAGGTATCACTGGGCCCACTCGGTAATGCATCATCATAATGAGCTCAAAGTGACCAAGTGTCTGGTCACGGGATCATGCATTACGGTACGAGTAAAGTGACTTGCCGTTAACGAGATTGAACGAGGTATTGGGATACCGACGATCGGATCTCGGGCAAGTAACATACCGATTGACGAAGGGAATTGTATGCGGGGTTGCTTGAATCCTCGACATCGTGGTTCATCCAATGAGATCATCGAGGAGCATGTGGGAGCCAACATGGGTATCCAGATCCCGCTGTTGGTTATTGGCCGGAGAGTCGTCTCGGTCATGTCTACATGTCTCCCGAACCCGTAGGGTCTACACACTTAAGGTTCGGGACGCTAGGGTTGTAGGGATATGTATATGCAGTAATCCGAATGTTGTTCGGAGTCCCGGATGAGATCCGGGACGTCAAGGGGAGTTCCGGAATGGTCCGGAGGTAAAGAATTATATATAGGAAGTGCTATTTCGGGCATCGGGACAAGTTTCGGGGTCACCGGTATTGTACCAGGACCACCGGAAGGGTCCCGGGGGTCCACCGGGTGGGGCCACCTGCCCCGGGGGGCCACATGGGCTGTAGGGGGTGCGTGTTAGCCTATATGGGCCAAGGGCACCAGCCCCAAGAGGCCCATGCACCTAGAGTTCAAGGAAGGGAAGAGTCCCAAAGGGGGAAG